CTCAATGTTTTCTGTTCAGTTTCTGGTTCAAAATGTCTGCACTCTGCTGCATCTGAAGATTTCTTCACCATTAGTCACTCCTACTCTATAAGGAAAGGACCTTGTTAGGTCTAGATTCTATAATTTTGCCATCTAAAATGTGACCCCAAAGAATCTCACTCCAAAGAGGCTCTAGAGAGCTAATTTCTCTGAAGTTGCAGGCTTTCTCTAGGGAGAGAGCAGCCTACAGGAAACCCTCCTGTGCAGAAAAAGCAATGTCAAGACTTTACCCAGAAAGCAGAAAAAACAACTACTACAAATACAAGACCTCCTGGAACCAGTTAAGCAGAGGGATGGGAGAGGCTGGGAAAGGAGGGGAAGATTGGTGTAACACCAGAGGGATGGCATTGCTGTGGATGCCAGTGAACTGAGTGGTGCATGTCATGCCTGGGTAACACTGACATGTGACCAATTCATCTCCTGTAATATGACAGAGGTATAAATGAGGGGCTGTGGAGGAGGATGAGTCTTCCCAGAGGAGAATTCTAGGAGTTGCCTGATTTGCTTTTCAGGATCATGGGGAATCAAGTGTAATTTGTCTATCCCAAAATACCACATGCATGCAATATATTATTATGACACTATAGGAAAATATAGCAGTCAAATGTCTGACTTTTCCCTGAATTCATATTGTGTTTCTTGAGTTTTCTACGATGTCATTAGTCATTGTGCCTCCATCTTCCTGAGTAATCTGTCTGTCCCAAAGTGTCCAGTCAAAGCTGTTCTGTGCTCTGTGCTCCCTCCTTGAGGAGAGATAATAAGATAATGTGCTCTGTCCCTTCAGGTGGCCCTCTGCTCTATGAGAACATCACTTTCGTCTACAACTCAGAGCAGCTGAATGGGACCCAGCGGGTTCTCCTGGATAATGTCCTATCAGAGGAGCAGTGCCGGGAGCTCCACAGCGTGGCCAGTGTGAGCATGGAATGGGGCAGGGGCCTGTCATGAGCCTGGAGGAGCCATGGTCTGGTCTCACTTTTAGGCCTGACTTTTGACTTTGTTTAGGAGAAGGACATTGATTGCGGAGAGATTTTCTTAGCTTTGGCTTCTGATGATTTTTACTTTTGCAGATGGGAATATCCCAGTGGCTTAATTCCCAGGACAATGCCCATCCAGCATGTTCCCTGCCTAGCATATAAAGTCGCTGGGGGAAATCCCTTTATTTTAATCAATAATCAACGGACATATGGATTATTGCATTCTGTTTATTTCTATTTATTATCATTTCTATATATTTCTACTAAAATCATTATTCACACTATATTTTCATTATTCAATATTGTATTATGAAAATGTAGTGTGAAGACTAAATACAGGTATTTCTTTTGATTAGAGAAATTAATTATGCCTGTATTCTGGAATAAAATGGGGATGGTTCTGAATATTCACTTTGATTGTCATCTCTCTGGCAGCCAAAGCAAAAAGAAAGTTGTCACTGATGAAACATCTTTTTGCCTTTTGATTCCAGGGAATCATGCTTGTTGGTGACGGCTACAGAGGAAAAACTTCACCCCATACACCCAATGAAAAGTTTGAAGGTGCAACTGTCCTGAAGGCACTCAAAGTAAAGTCTCACTGTGTTTGGGTTTGGGTGTGGGTTCCTAAGTGTCAACCCAGAGGCTTCAGTGAATGACAGACACAGGAAAGAGAAGAGTTTAGAATATACAACAATCAGGAGCAAATATGAAGCAGAAACTTTGTTGTATTTGTTTTTGGGTGCCGAGGATTGAACCAGGGCCTGGTGCATACTAAACGCAAGCTCTACCTCTGAGTTACACGTGCCCAGACACCTTTATTGTTTTTAATCAGTCCTTCATTCTGTCATTAATTTATTAAACTTCACATGTACTAAATTTGTACCTGATTAAAAAAAAAAACACAAAACCTCTGTCCTCAAAAGCTCATGATCTGCTTATAAAAACATACACAAACAAGTAATTATTCTTTACAGCAAGAAGTGTTATTAGAGAGGAATCAAGAATGTATTATGAGAGAAGAGGGAAGGAAACAATTAGCTTTTAAGTTTCCCTTTATAATTGGTAAGAGCTTATTTCAGCAGCTCTTTATCCTAACCTAATCCCATCAGTATTCCCATTAGTTAGTGTGGAGATAGCCACCCTGTATTGTCTTCAAAGCCCTCCCATTGACCTACTGTTCTCTCTCTCTCTCTCTCTCTCTCTCTCTCTCTCTCTCTCTCTCTCTCTTTCTTTCTTTCTTTCTTCTTACTCAAAACAAGTTTATTTCTTGCTTGCATAAAATTAAATCATCTGGGAGAGATGTGGAATTAAGGAAAGGAAACACTAGTCCTCACAATCATTCAAGGGCCTAACTGAAGATCTTTGCCATCTTCCAGTGGTTTTCATAGTTATTTTGGGTGTGTCCACTACATAGCAGATGGGAGAAGAAAATGCAAGGATCATGGATGAAATTTTAATGGGGGTCTACATTCCTACACTCATGACGCACTGTCCAAGACTTAGTCCCATGGTCTCATACACATGTATGGCCCTGAGGGGGTAAATGTGCTCCCTTGCTGGGCAGCCATGTGTAAGGAACATATCTCAAAAAGAAGCAAAAGTGTTTTTTTTTTTTTTGCAGACATTTAGTAGTTTCCTATGCCAAACTCTTTTCTATTGCAGGCTTCCAGCCTTAGGCAAGCCTGAGCTCAGATTTAAAGTATCTATTTAAAATGCATAGTTAAGGACATAGATATTTTAATTACTGAAATGAATGCATGGAACTAAAGTGACTAAAGGATCTAACAGCTTGTGAAACCCCTACCCCAACATTCCACAAAGGATAGGGAGAAGAGACTAAGATAGGGAGTCTCTAAGATCAGGTCTGAGGAAAAATAAAGTTCCTGGTTTTTTTTTTGTTTTGTTTTGTTTTGTTTTTTTAATTCTACTGGTCAATCCACTGCTTTCTAATGTTTTTATTTTGCTTTTCTTTTCAGTTTGGTTATGAGGGCCGAGTCCCACTGAAGAGTGCACGTCTGTTTTATGACATCAGTGAGAAGGCTCGAAAGATCGTAGAGTCCTATTTCATGCTGAATTCAACCCTTTATTTTTCCTATACACACCTGGTCTGCCGAACAGCCCTTTCTGGTGAGAATTCAGAGCCTGAACTTGTTCCTTTCTACCCACAATACAATGGGAATTTAAACTATGTAAAACAGAGCTCTATTACATGTAGCCTAATATTTTAGAAGAGTTCTATATTTCTAAAGGAGGAAGAGAAGGAGGAGGAACTGTAACAACTTAGGAAACTCAGGACTTCTTATTTTTTACATCCCTCTTTTGCTCCTTTTTGGTCCCCTAAAATTCCTGAAGACTCTCTCTCTGAATATTTTCAAATCTATTTCTCCTTATTGCTGACATCATACAGAAAAATGCTTTTCTTCTCTAGGCTTCTCTTTCCAAGGGACCAGGGACCTGGACATTATGGTTGCTATTTGTTAAAGAGATTATTAAAGAGATGTCCATTATCATTTCTCCTGAGCATCTTCTCTTCCACCCACCTAAATGCCACAGGAAAGATGCCATAGGAGTAGGCAACACTTGGGGGAGTTTCCTCTGGATCAAAATCATTTGTTTTCATTTTCATTTCATCCTGATCCTTTTGAAGTACAACCCATGAAATGCATGGAGCTTATACACGTATATTTCTATCAGAGTGTGCTTATAGTTGAAGAGACAGGTGTGATTTGCCCAAGGTTTTCACATCAAGTTCAAGTCAAAACCAGACCATCATCTCCTGACTGCTTGCCCACTGTCATCTATATTCTCTCATTTACAAAGGACACCAGGAATGAGAGAAGACAGTTAATCAATATTGTTCCTTTTTCTGGCAGGTCAACAGGATAGAAGAAATGACCTCAGTCATCCCATCCATGCTGATAACTGCCTGTTGGATCCAGAAGCCAACGAATGCTGGAAGGAGCCTCCTGCTTACACTTTCCGGGACTATAGGTAAGCCCCAGTCTCCTTCAGAACCAAGCTCCCACCCAACAGTAATCCATGGGAACTGGAAAGCTATTCTGTTTTGCTTGTCATCTTTATCTCTGTGAAGCAGAGATTCTCAAGTAATCTGAAGCAGCTTCCATAGCTGAGAAGTGTCAACTTCATTTTTATCTTCAAAATCATGCACATTTTCCTCCTACCAAGGAGAGTGTATGTTGTGTTGTGTTGTGTTGTTGTTGTTTTTAAATCATTGTGTTTTCACTGAGGCATTAACCTTTTTGGGTATGTACATCTCAGTCTGAGAACACAAAGTCATGGTGTCCTAGTATACCTGGGGATCTTCTCATATCACTTATCAATGACTCACACATTTGAAGAACTATGTTGCATTTTGCAAACAACAAAACAGAAACTCAGAAAAAAAATACTCTTTTATGATGCTGAAAGATATATTTGTCTATAAAGGAAAGAATCAGGAGTCGTAGTCTCCAGGTGTATAATAGTGTGTTAATTATTATGACACTTTCTTATTCTAAAATAATTTTTAGCACCCCCTCTCTGCAGGGCCAAGGTCCAAGTAATTAAGGAAAAAGTAGTTACTAGTATGTGAGAGAAGAAGAGAGTTAGAAGCAATGTGGGTGGGTTCAGAGGGCTCCATTAAATTAAATCTAGTTAGATATTCTTTGGAGGAAGTGAAATGTGATCTGAGCTTTGAAATATGATTAGAACTTTTATGTAAGTAGAATTAATAAACCCTTTAGAGGTATAACCCAAAGTATATCTGATTTTACCTTCAAGGGTCTGGTAGGTCAAATATTGTGATGTCTAGTTCAAAGGCAACTTACTCAACAGGTAGCCCATTTATTACCTGTCTTCGTGTTCCACAGTGATGATACTCTGAGCATATTGTCCTATGAATGGCTCTCCCTTTCTTCTTTAGTGCTCTCCTGTATATGAATGACGACTTCGAAGGAGGAGAATTCATATTCACTGAAATGGATGCTAAGACTGTGACTGTGAGTAAGCTTCTTCCTGCAAATTTATTTAGTGTTTTTTTATTTTGTCTTACATTCTTCCAAGGATTTCCAGAGTGCTGGATTCCAAATACTTCTGAGCTCAAGAATTCAAGGGGTGGAAAGAGTCCAAGTAAATTGATAAACCATAAACTTTTAGAAATGGAAGCATACACAAACATTTTCTAGTTCAATTTGAAGATAAATAAAGAGTAGAGATAATAAGGATTTGATGAGGTAGTTAGTGTTCAACTTGGAACCAAAACCTAGACTTTCTGATTCTTTGATGGAAACATAAAAACATTAGTTCTTAGTCACCCAAGTCTAGGACAAGTCAAATAATTATACTGAATAAATTCAAGTAATCGGGTACTCCACATGCTTGGATTGAACATTGGCCTCCAAATCCCTAGTTAGCTACATGATCAAAAAGGATTCTAGCATATGTAGAATTATATTCTAGCATATGCAGAATTATTTGTGTATGTACAAATACTGTTTTAGTCAGCTTTTTTGATACTGTTAGTCTGTTAATTATTTTGAGGAGGAAAAATTTATTTGGGGGGTTTATGGTTTCAAAGGTCTCAGTCAACTCAACAGATTGTCACTTCCATTGCTCCAGGCCAGAGGTGAGGCAGGAAATCATGGTAGAAGAGTGTGGTGGAGGAAGGAGGCTCAGGACATGGCACTAGGAAGCAGAGAGAAAGCGAACCCTGCTCACTAAGAACAAAATATATACCCCAAATGAACCCCGCCCCAGTGACTTACCTCTTCTAGCCACACTCTACCTATCTACAGTTAGCACCCAGTTAATCCCTATTAGAGGATTAATGTACTGATTAGATTAAACCTTTAATAATCCAATCATTGCATTTCTAAACTTTCATACATTTTCTCACACATGAGCTTTTGGGGGACACTTCATATCTAAACCATAACAAATACAAACATATAATTTTAGTATAAGTAATAAACCTACAGAGATCGATACACGTACACACAAATATGTAGATCAAATTTACCAACATTCACCTAAGCAAACGAGTGCCTTTGGAAAACCAACCTCCATAGCACTTACAGACTCTACAGTTAGCATCTCTCCCCACCCATTTCAGTACTGAGATTGAACCCAGGCATTCTTTTGGCCACTGAGCTACATCCCCAGCCCTTTCACTTATTCATTCATTCATTCATTCATTCATTCATTCATTTTGGGAAAGGTCATTGCTAAGTTACTGAGGCTGGCATTGAACTTGCCTCTTTCTGCCTCAGCCTCCCCAGTTGCTTGGATTACAGGCATGCAACACCATACCTGGTTTAGTTAGCATCATTTGATCTTTAAACCAAAGAACATTCATAATGGTTTTAAAAAACATGTTTTTCCAACTGAGGGAATAAATTATAAATAGGTTATGAGATATGTCTTTCTTCCATACAAATCTAAATAATCGGGACTTCAAGGTTTTGTATTACATAAGCCATTTCTCAAACTTTTCCTGAGTTTTGCAATTTTACTCTCATAGCTTCATGCTTTTCTGAACAGTACAACATCTATGTATCTTTCATGACACACTACTGTGCTGTTGCAGGTGATATAAATATTTCTTTGGTTTAAAGGGAATTTCTATGCAGATTCTGGTTTAACTTGTTCAAAAATATGGTTATAATTAAGAAAAATATTTTATACAGTGATGTATGTTTAAAAGTTTGTGATGATTCACCGTTTTTTTGTGTTTTTTTTTTTGTAAACTTAAATATTTATTTGGGGAGTGTTTTGATGCTTCATAATGTAGAAAACTAAGTGAATTGATGTTCTTGATTGGAGTTTAAAAGCCCTACACTAGAATATCACTTTTGCAAAAGCTGTATGTAGAAGTCATTTTGTTTCTGAGCTTTGCTAACACTGAAACTGAGGTAGAAAACCATTCCCATCTTATACACTTTGGAGAAAATCAGTTTCAAATAAAATCAGACAGGTGGTTGAGAAGATTTCTTTGCTTCTACTCCCCCTAGTGGCCATGTTTGGAGACGTTGAATGTTTGAAAGAATTGATGCTTGGAATACTATGTATGAATCAGTTTCATTCACTGTTGAATGTAAGTTAACTGAAATACTGCTTTTTAACCATGTCAAAGTAGATACTATTCTCCTTTTATTTATCTATAATTATCAGATAATTTATGGTTTTAAAAGGAATGAATCTAACCTCTCCTCAAAAAAGTAAATGAAACTGGCTTAAATTTTTAACCCAAAAGCCTATCAATACTTTATATTAATGAATATGACAGAGTTTTTAGAACATTTCAGGGATAATTAAGATTCATGGGTAAAATTTTAGGGATTATTTTAGAAATTCATAGATAAACTTTTTAGTTCTTACCTCTTTCCCATAGTAAATTTATTCCAATCTCAACAAAAAGAAATGGAAAGTTTTCCTTTTCTATTTCTCTTATTTGACTTCCAAAGGACAAACAAAGAAAAGTAATGACCTTACTTAGAGCCACAAAAAGAATTAGAGTTTTTCCATCCTTTACTTTGGAAAAATCTTGATATTGTATAATGAACTGAATAGTGACTGAATGTTTACATTGATTAAGGATAAGTACATCTCAAATTCTTTCTAGCTCTTTATCATTAGTTAGATGGAAGGCAAAATTGTTTGTAAAAATCATACTTGGAAAATTGTATATTTGGAAGACAAAGGGCTTATTTTAAATAATAGCATTTATTTGTGGAACAAGAATTAAAGGGTTTGGGGCTCTCAGTGTAAGTTTGAAGAAGATAAAATTTAATAAGTTGTGTTTGCTTTGTGACAAATGAAATTCAGTGTTATGATGCAGTGTTCCAAAATATGTCTGTAACTATTTAATTAAACTCCAGAACACAGTCTCCTGTAGAAACCATGTCAGAATTGAGAATGAAAGCTTCTATATGCATTTCATCTCTGTAACCATGCTTAATCTCCAAATAAAGATAATAGCAAACCCATAATTCCACCCAACAAGTTGTGTACAGCTGAGAATGTTCTAATCCCTTCTCCAGGAGAGGAGGTGAAGTCCTTGAGTGGTGTTTACTTTTCTAGACAAATATTATGATGTAAAATTAACCATATTTAAATACTGATATAAAGTCAATATATCTTAAGGTACACGCTAAGGAAATAAAAGAGGAGAAAAAACAAAGATGTGCTTAATATATGTATATATGCACACATATATTCAGAACAAAATAAGCAAGAAATAATCATGACGATTTTAGTTCTCAGTTCTGTAACTGGTCTTATGGTCACGGCTGGTGTTTATAACTTCCTTCTGCTATTCTTCCTGTATCCCCTTTGCCTTCCACAAAGTACCTCATCTGCCTGTAATTCCTTACCTGGTGGGGTGACACACCTCCATTGCTGAAGGTTTTAGGCCATTTATAGTCTTGCCTAGATTGGGTGGCTGTAGTTTTATTGACCTTTAATAATAGATGTTGTAAATACTGAGAGATGTTGGGTACCTGTAATCCCAGTGACTCAGGAGGCTGAGGCAGGAGGATTGCAAGTTCAAGGACAGCCTTGGCAAGTTAGTGAGGCCCTAAGCAACTTAGTGAGACCCTGACTCAAAAAATAAAAAGGGCCAGGGATGCAGGGATGTGACTCTCTCTCTCTCTCTCTCTCTCTCTCTCTCTCTCTCTCTCTCTCTCACACACACACACACACACACACACACACACACACAGGAAGTCATTCTAATTGCTTCACGATGGTAGGAACATGGGAAAACAGTGAAATCCAGGTATTTGGCTATGCAGTGAGTTCCTTGATTAGAAGCAATGGATATGACGAACAAAATAACACATGTTAGAGAGGATGTGGAGAAAGCAGAACCCTTGTGCCCTGTTGGTGGGAAGGTAAAATGGTATAGCCTAGAAAACAGTATGGTGGTTTCTAAAAAAAAAAAAAAAATCTTTTTTAATTGAATTATCAAAAAGAGAGAGAGAGAGAGAGAGAGAATATGAAAGCTTCTTTATTCCTCCATGTGTGACAGTTGAAGCTCTCTGTTTGGTTAGTCTGGGGGTCCCTGAGAGCCCACTCCCCTGGCATCAGTTCTGATTGCTTTCAGCCATTCCATAACTTGTTCTCCTAAGCTTTCTTGAAATCTTTCATATTTAAATATCCTTTCAATTCTTCTAATTTCATTAGGAAGAAAACTCTGAATTGTCCTGACAGTCTTTCTTTAATATTCTAAAATGTTGCCGCCAAGAACTGGTAATCACAGAGTGATGGCCACCATGTGTGGTCATGTGAGTCCTGACCAGCTCCTCAGAGGGTGCTGTTCAGAGAACTTGAAGCTCCAGCTCCCAAGGCCACTTACTAGAAAGCTTTTTCTATCCCACTTCACAGGCTTCACACATTATTTATTGTTCTATTTCTATGCAGAAGGGCACAGCAGTTCTGTCTCTGCCAAACTGGAATCATACTGATTCTGTGGACACCAATAACTAGTGAACTGTCTAGATTTACAGCAGAACAGTCACCTCCATACAGCTGCTTAAGAGAAACCACTATCTAGAAAAGACAAATCACTCTTTGATTATTGTGAATAGGAAAACAACCAGAAACTGACTTCTCCCTTCTGCTCTTCCGCTTAATACTCACACACGCACGTGTACACACACAGAGGCGTAAAAATACATGCATACGTGGGCATACACACATACCTGGGCCTCTGACTTCTTGACTCCTCCACCTTCCTCTGACCTTCCTTGTGATTCATACAGTCTGGGAGTATAAATGTTATCCCAGAACTTCAGGAAATGCTTCAGACATTTTTCTGGAAGGCACTATTGAAGAAACCACAGCCATCTCATGTTATGCACAAAGAGAATGAAAACTCCCCTAATGGGCCTGTATCAACTCAAGTCAGTTCAGAAAACAGCTCGTTTGAAGGTCCCTCTTAGCATGCAGTAGAATGGCCAGTCTCACTGTTTTGCTTTTGCTTTACTTCCTAAGGTCTACTGTAGAATTTGTAAGGTTTCAATATTTCCTAAAAAAGAAAAATAGTCTCTACTCACATCAGACACTTCTCATAACCACAACCAAGGCTTCTAATATCCAGTTGCTTGAGCTCACTCAACTTGCAGAGCCTGCTTTCCCATTTTCCACCGCGACCCAGTGCCCCCAGCAATATCTGTTTTTCCCTCACTGCCCTTTTCTACCTAGATATCACTGGACAGCTCCACCTAAGCAATACGCAAGCTTTGAAGTGTTGTGTCAGTCATCTCAAAACACCTAGAGGCCATGGAATAGGTCACCCCAAGGGTAGTATGTTCGCTTCACTGAAGCTAGTCAAACAAAGCCTGATTAACCACTGGCTAGCAATAGTTTGAAGGGATTAATGCATCATTTGGATTAGATTTGACTTTTAGAAATCTTTGGATTGTGACAAATGTATAAACCATAAATGCACAATGAAGGAATTAGTAAGGGTGCTCTCATGTAACCACTATCTAGATGAATAGTTAGGCTTTTCTGGTGCTCAGATGTCTTCTTGATTTCTTTTTAACTCCACAAATATTAAATGTACACCTGCCTTACACACAGATCCTTTGCTATGTTAAAGCTATATAAGTGAATTAAAAGAAATCTTTGCCTTCTTGGAATCTCTAGGCTATTAGCACAGCATGTATTAAGCAATTACTAGGTGCATGAGCTATTCCACATATTTTGCTTAATTTTTTGTATTTTATTTTATGAGGTTTTATCTACAGATCAAAAGACTGAAAGGACTTCTTTTTACAGCCCCAGCATTCCATTATTCTTTGACTAAAACCTTAGCCCAAATAATTTCACGGAGGGTAATGTTTATGATCTAAAATTTAAAAGTCTAGCTGTCATTTTCTTTTGCAGGCCTCTATAAAACCAAAGTGTGGGCGTATGATCAGCTTCTCATCTGGAGGAGAGAACCCACATGGGGTGAAGGCAGTCACCAAAGGACAGAGGTGTGCTGTGGCTCTGTGGTTCACCTTGAACCCACTTTATAGAGAATTGGTGAGTTCCTAACACTCGGAAAGCCAGTTAGACCTGCTTTCTGAACTGATCAATCTACAAAGTCCTTTAAGTTGTTCCATATCCCTTCAGGATCCTAAGACATCATGACAAAACTTTCACAGAATTCTTTCTGGTTTCCAATGCTAGGACAATTTTCTAAGCAAGAACGAACGTCCCTGATCTGGTCCTGACGTGGCAATTACATATCTTATAGGAACTATGAAGGCAGCTTTTTAATCTGATCATTTCTAATAAGTGAAGCTGTTTTCAGAAATAGAATCATCAGTGTTCTTGGGGAGTTACTAATCAAGATTGAGCTTGTTAACAAATTGGAGCCTTGGGAGAGAGGAATGACAGTTTGTGGGTCTCCAAGAGAAAAGACTAAATTATTTTCTTGGCAAAGTGTTAAATGATCACTGAATAATTTATCAAACATGTGAAAGAGGATGAGGGAAGCTGAAAGGTTTTTATGACTTATTACTACTAGTAAATTAAATCTTAATATCGTATTTGAAGTAGCTGAGGACACTTAGCCTGAAAAAGAGACTGTGATCTCATCCTTGTAGATGTGCTTGGGCAGGGGTTGCAGTCTGCACCAGTGAAGAGACATGAATTAATACCAATAGGTAGAAGTCCCTGGGAGAAAAATTGGGGAACACCATAAGGGATAACTTTCAAATGATTAGTCCTGTCAAGTAGAGTTGTCTGCTTTGGAAGTCCTGATTGGTGGCTCCAATTGAAGCCCAGTCAGCGACGTGGCCTGAAATAAGGAAGTTGAGCCTCATGACAAGGGGTCATCTTGAGTGACCGCAAAGTCTTCTTCCGCCCACGTTCTAATGAATCTGTTCATTAAAATGATGGTCTGTCTGGTTTTGCTCTTTAGGGTCTCTAAATTGAATCCAGTTTCATCAGCAACTGCTTTAAAACAATCCCTTTTTCTTATGTATTTTTCACCATCAAAACTATCTCACACCAGCTACTAGGGAGTCTGAGGCAGCAGATTCACAAGTTCTGGGCCTGCCTGGGCAACTTATCAAGAGCCTGTCTCAGAAAAAAAGAAAAAACAAAAACAAGGACCAAGGCTGTACCTCAGAGATAGGAAGAGTACTTGCCTAGTGTGTGCATTTTAGGCTCAGGGTTCCATCTCCAGCACTGCAACAAAACAAAAACGAACTCACAAAAGTTCTTTGCCCACGTTCTCTGAGCATTCTTTCAGACATTTAACACAGGTTCACAGAAGACTTGTTAATTGCCTAGAAAGCCCTGCAAGGCAGGCTCTTGGAGCACAGGATGAACAAAACCTAGTTCTTGACAGCAGGGAGCAGGGAGAGATCAAGAAGACAGGAAATGGGAATAAAGGAAGACTCACTTAAACTCAGAAATAAAGAAGATGATACCTAGTATGGAAAGAGAAAGAACTGTCCTAACAGGGAAGAGAGCACAGAGCTGAGAAGTTCAACAGCACTGAACAATCTCCTTCACCAAGAATTCCTTTTGTTCCTTATTTTTTTCACCCACTTTTTTTTTTATCGATGCATTATAGTTGTACAAATGGATGGGATTTGTTGTTACATATTCGCACATGCACATGATATAAAAATATAATTTGGCCAATATCATTCCCCAGCATTTCCAGCTCCCTGTGCTTTGTTTTTTTTTTTTAAGTATCCATTTATTTTTATTTTTTTCCTTTAATTTTTATTGTTGGTTGTTCAAAACATTACATAGTTCTTGACATATCATATTTCACACTTTGATTCAAGTGGGTTATGAACTCCCATTTTTACCCCATATACAGATTGCAGCATCACATCAGTTACACATCCACTGTTTTACATATTGCTATACTAGTGTCTGTTGTATTCTGCTGCCTTTCCTATCCTCTACTATCCCCCATCCCCTCCCCTCTCATCTTCTCTCTCTACCCTATCTACTGTAATTCATTTCTCCCCCTTGTTTTTTTCCCCTTTCCCTTCTCTTCCTCTTGTATGTAATTTTGTATAACCATGAGGTTCTCCTTTAATTTCCATGCATTTCCCTTCTCTTTCCTTTTCCCTCCCACCTCTCATCCCTGTTTAATGTTAATCTTCTTCTCATGCTCTTCCTCCCAACTCTTTTCTTAGTTACTCTCCTTATATCAAAGAAAACATTTGGCATTTGTTTTTTAGGGATTGGCTAGCTTCACCTAGCATAATCTGCTCTAATGCCATCCATTTCCCTGCAAATTCTGATTT